CAGCAGTAACTGCTACTGAAACCTAAAACTAAAAGTCCTGGTTCTGTGGGAGGTTGACCCCACCCATCCGAGCTACTTCTATTGTTCCAACTTTATAAAAGGCCTCACGAGCTATTTACTTTCTTGAATTCAAATAGATAGCTCATCACCTCTTTCTTAAAACTTTTTATCCAAAAGAAACGACAAAATACACCTCATAAAGCCATAGTATCATCACACAGGGAATTATTAATGTAAAGTCCAGTTACCTCTTCAAGTACTATCTCTTTACTAATACTAATTTGTTTAGTTCCTCAGTTTGACAAGTCCCTTGGTCACCTGGTATTTCTGGATGATATTTTGTATTATCTTCCATGAGCGCAGTCTCAAAGTATCTTTTATTTCTCTGCCACTTGCCTGTTCTCCACTGTACATTTTTTGCTTCCACCGCAATTGTCTCGCCAAATTTTTACCTTTTCATACACCTAAAAAAGCTTTGACAGTGTGTCTTTATGTATGTTCCTCATTTTAGTTTATATTCTCATTTCATGCTCTTTGTCAGTTACTTCATCCTTCTTTGCTACATTCTAAATTGCTCCCGTTCTTCAGGCGTACCACTTTTTTCTGACACCTTATAAGCCATTAACTTCATTTAACAAAATCTTTAACTGCTATATTGTATTTATGTTTATAGAAGTATATAAAATTATGGGAGGCATGGATGAGGTGGATAGTTGGAGTCTTTTTACAAGGGGGAAAGTGTAAAGTACTAGGGGACATAGGTTTAAGGTGAGAAGGGAAAAGTTCAGAGGAGATGTGCAAGAAAAAGTTTATTCACAGAAGGTGGTGGTTGCCTGGAACATGCAACCAGGAGAGGTGATAGAAGCAGATGCAGTAGCAAATTTTAGAAGGCATTTAAACAGTCACATGAGCAGGCAGGGAATAGAGTGATACAGACCATGTGCAGGCAGATGGGATTAGTTTAGAATGGCATCGTCATTGGAACAGACATAGTGGGCCGAAGGGCCTGTTCCTGTGCTGTTCTATGTAAAAGACATTCTAACATCTGCCCCTTGACACTTAATGGGGTTACTGTTCAATGGGGTTACCATCACTGAATTCCCCTGCTATAATATCCTGGGTTTACCAGAAACTCAGCTGGATTCACCACATAAACACTGGCTACAAGAGCAGGTCAGAGGCTAGGAATACTGCAGTGTGTAACCCACCTCCTGACTCCCCAAAGCCTGTCCACCATCTACAATGCACAAGTCAGGAGTGTGATGGAATACTCCCCAGTTGCTTGGATGGTGCAGCTGCAACAACAATGAAGTAGCTTGACCCCATCCCAGGGCAAAGCAGCCCACTTGATTGGGACCACATCCACTATCATTCATGTCCTCCAGCAGTACATCTACAAGATGCACTGCAAAAATTCACCAAAGATCTTTTGACAGCACCTTCCAAACTCACGACCACTTCCATCTAGAAGGACAAGGGCAGCATATACATGGGAACACCACACCTGCAAATTCTCCTCCAAGCCACTCACCATTCTCACTCAGAAATACATCGCCATTCCTTCGCTTGCTGGGTCAAAATCCTGACATTCCCTCCCTAAGGGCATTGAGGGTCAACCTACAGCGCAAGGGTTCCAGTGATTCAAGAAGGCAGCTCACTACACCTTTTCAAGGGCAGCTAGGGACAGGAAATAAATACTAGTTAGCCAGCAATGCCCTTGCTCCAATGAATGAATTTTTAAAAAATGTACGTTATCAGGCCCAGGGAATTTATTGGCTTTAATCCCAACAATTTCCCCAACACTTCTTTCCTACTAATTCCTTCCATTCACTAGAACCTGCAGACGGCAACATTTTTGGGACATTATTTGTGTTCTCCTCTGTGAAAATAAAACCAAAGTATGTATTTAATCAGTCTGCTATCTTTTTGTTCCCGATTATAACTTATCCTGGTTCTGACTGCGAGGGATCTACATTTGTCTACACTAATCTTTTTCTCTTCATGGTCTTTTAGTGTATTTAGGAAGTGTTATAGAATCATAGAATGCCTACAGTGTGGAAGCAGGCCATTTGGTCCATCGAGTCCACACCGACCTTCCGAACAGCATCCTGCCCAGACCCACCCCCTACCCTGTCCCTGCATTTCCCACTCGAGACACAATGGGCAATTTAGCATAGTCAATCCATCTAACCATCATCAACTTGCCCCTCATATCTTCATAATTACCTTTCCTCAAATTTAATACCTTAGTTTCAGAATGAATAGAAAGAATAGAAAGACAACAATTATTTAAATTGAGAGATTGTAGATCTCTGAGTTCCAGAGAGATCTGGGTGTATTAGTACATGAATCACAAACATTTGCAGACATAACAAGCAATTAGGCAATGGAATGGAATTTTGTTGTTTATTGCAAGGGGAATGGAGTATAAAAGTAGGGTGTTTGCTACAGTTGTATTAAACATTGGTTATGGAATACTGCATAAGTTTTGGTCTCCTTATTTAGGAATGAATATAAATGTGTCAGCTGCAATTCAGGGACAATTCTCCCAACTGATTCCTTGGATGAGGAAGTTATATGAAAATGCTAAATAGAACAGAAGGCAACTATTCGGATTCTTGAGTCCAATCCACCATTCACTAACGTCATGGCTAATATGTTTGTATAAAAATTCCACATTCCTATTCCCCCTGATAATCACCGCCTCTTTTTAGGTAGGTAAATCAATCAATCCCTCATTTAAAAATATTTACTGACCTACCTCCATTGCCTTCTGAGGCAGAGAGTTCCAAAGTTGCACAACTCTTTGAGAGAAATAAATTCTCCTCATCTCTGTTCTTTAAGGGTGGCTCTGAATTTTAGAATAGTGCCCCCTAATTCTAGACTCAACCACAAAGAGGAGACATCTGTTCCACATCTGTCTTGTCAATACCTTTCAGGATCTTATGCACTTCATCCCTCATCTTTTTGTTTTATTCATTCACAAAATGCAGGCATCTCTGGCTGGGCCCCATCCCCAATTTCCCTTGAAAAGGTGTTGGTTAGCTGCTTTCTTGACGAGATGTAGTCGACATGCTATATATCTCCCTGCAATGTTGTTAGGAATTGAGTTCCAGGGATGGATTTTAACCCAGTGACAGTGAAGAAACAGTGATAAATTTCCAAGCCAGGACGGTGTGTGGCTTGGCAAGGCACTTGCAGATGGTGGTGTTCTCTTTTGCTCTTGGCAGCCTCAACTGTTCTACTCACACCTCCTTCCCATTTGTCAACAGCATAAAAGCTATCAATTTCCAGCCCCCTTAGGTTCTGAAGAAGAGTCATATTGGACTCAAAAATTAACTCTCTCTCTCCACAGATACTGCCAGATCTGCTGAGTTTCTCCAGCACTTTGGTTTTATATACTCACTGCTGAATTCCTAGTCACTTCAGGATTCAGTGATGGTAATGCCATTGAGGATCAAGGGCGACGGTTGGATTCTGTCATCACAGATGGTCATTGCCATGCACTTGTGTGGCATGAATGTCACTTGTCACTTATCAATCCGAGCCTGGATATTGTCCAGGTCTTCATGCATTTGGACATTGACTCTTTCAGCATCTCAAGAGTTGCAAATGGTGCTGCGTTGTGTAATCATTGGCAAACACCTTCACTTTTGAACTTATGATGCAGATAAAGTCATTGATGAAGCAGTTGAAAATGGTTGGCCTCAGACACTGCCCTAAGGAGCTGCTTCAGAAGTGTATTCGAGTTTGGATGGTTGACCTCCAATAGTTACAACCATTTTCCTTTATGCCAGGCATTCTTCCAAACACAAGGAATTTTCTCTTGATTGTCATTGACCCTAGTTTTGCCAGGGCTCTTTGCCCTTGGTCAGATGCAACCTTGATGTCAAGTGGAGTTACTCTAACCCCACATCCAGAGTTAAGCTCTTTTGTCCATGTTTAGACCAAGATTGAATTGAGGTCAAGAGCTGAGTGGTTCTACTGGAAGTCAAACTGAGCAAGATTGAGCAGGTTACTGCTGTGTAAGTTCTGTTTGAAAGCACCTTTGACAACCCCTTCTATTACTTTGCTGATGATGGAGAGTAGGTTGTTGCTGCACTGGTGTATTTGCTGTCACTGCATTTTTCAGGATCATTGTTGTGGGAACTCTGGAAGAAAATATGACAAGATGAGAAAGCAGCAGAAGAGGGGAAGTGAGAGAACTATCAAGGGCTAAGGAAGAGTTGTAAGTGCAATGGTGTTGCAGATATTCTGGTTAGAGTACAGACTGAGAAAATGCAGTGATTTCACACACACAGGCAGATAGCTGTGAGTACAACCATATTGGATATATAAGCAGCAGGCAGCATTAAGAAAGAGAAAGAACTGGTGGGATATCAAGTGAAATCAGAAATTGTTGGTTATAGATATAAATACTAGTACATAATCACAGATGCATTGGAAAATCCTAAATCCCAAAGCAGACAGTGCCCACGACACTCAGGTTGGATAGAAAATGGACATGGCCAGCCTGCTGAACATGGCTGGTTTGACACGCTTAATCATACCATTTGGGAGGGAGTGGAGGGTGTTAATCATGACGGGGTTAACACTGTGGATGGGGCAGTTAATCATGGGGGGAGTTAATCGTGCCTGGAGTGGTTTATCTCAGTGCATGTGTTGTGGAGTCCTGAGCTGTACGTATCAAGACCATTGGGCTGCAGATTGCCAGTGGGCTGTGTTGATAATGCTAAGATTCAAACTATTTCAGTAACCTTGCATTGTGTTAATGTTGAAGCAGCACATGACTGAGAGTGGAAAGCACAATATACCTGAACCTTACTGTTCAAGAGAATTTTGTGGAATTGGACCTGATGAATAGGGGTGACCGAATGTATACACTATTTACTGCCTAGAGAACATGTCCTTGTACGAGTGCGTTTTTCAGTTTTCACTTGTCATTTGACACATGTTATTGCAATTATTTGTGTTTTAATTGAACACGCTTCTCTTCACAGGAGGTCAGCAAAGTCAAGGAGCCGGAGCCCAGTGTACTCTAGACATTCGCGATCACGCAGTAAACATAGGCAATCCCGATCACGAAGCCGACATTCAAGTATTTCACCAAGCCGGTTTACCCTCAAGTCAAGCCTTGGTGCTGAGCTGAGCAAAACCAAAAGGGCAAGAGCAGCTGTGGCTGCCAAGTCCAGCACAAAAGACTCAAAAGATTCAAAAGGTTCAGTTGGAACTGTTTGTAAAACAAGCGCTCACAGTGCTGGTTCTGGCAGCACAGCCTCTGCAACACCACTTAAAGATATAAAAAAATTGACTAAAATAGTAAAAAGTGAGAAGCCATCTTCACCTATTGAAGCCTCAAATGCAGTGATTGTGAAGATAGAGGAAGATGTTGCTGAGGAGATAATTCCAGAGATAAAAATAAAGACTGAATTGCCAGAGAATAGCCCAGTACTCTCCCCATTGGCATTGTCAGTAAAAGAGTCTAAATCGCCAGTGGTGAAATGTGAAGTGGAAACGCCAAAAGAGAAGAGTCTGCCGCCTTTACCAAATGAAAGCAATTTGGATAAACCTCCACTTCCTCCTTCAGGTTCTGCTCCACCACCATTACCTCCACCATCTCCTCCTGTAACACTGCCTCCAGCCCCAGTACAGCCACCACCTCCCCTACCAATAGTGACTCTGCACCAGTCTCAGCCTCCTGCAGAGATTCCGATTGAACCACCACCACCACCAACAACCACAGTGCATCTACCACAGCTCCCAGTACCGTTGTCGTTACCATTGCCACCAGTATCGATGTCTGTACCAGTCTTGACCCACCCACCAACTATCCCTCAGCAACCATCATCAAGGACCACAGTGTTGGGCAGTGCACTCCCCATGCCACCCATGATGAACTCAGTAATGCCCTTACTGACTTCAACATTGCCACCACTGCCATTGCCTCCACTCCTTCCTGGGGAAGATGATATAGAAAGGTAAGAAATCTGTGTTAGATTAAATGTTCCTGCCAGAGTCAGATCAAGAAGTGGTTTTTGTTCTAAAATATTGAATGTTGTCATCGGAATGGACCTGCATTCCAAGGTAGTTTCCCACTCTGTGTCTGTCACTAGAACTGCAAAAATATGTTATTTTCTGGGAGGAAAAAAATACTCCAGGATGATCTATACAATTCAGGAATGGACCTGCATTCCAAGATTAAGATGCACACAGTTTAGGAATGACCTGTACACACATCCGGTATAGTGCATAGCTTCTGTATCAGCTTTGTGAAGGATCTCACAAACACTGATCATTCCAGATTAAAATTACAAGATAATTCTGTGGTTATGCAGGTTTATATTTGCTTTGCCTCCTCATCAGGTCACAACCACATTGTAATCATTTGAAGATTGGTCAGGATGGTTGCACTGCTGATGTGGCATTGATTGGTCTCCATTATGACCTAACCTCACCTGAGGAACTAGTCAACACTTTCGAGATGCTCCAGTGCACTTTGAATTGTCTCAAAGTAAAGCACAAGATGACCTTCTGAGTTCTGAGGAAGGGTCACTAGACCTGAAACGTTAACTGTGATTTCTCTCCATACATGCTCCCAGACCTGCTGAACTTTTCCAGCAATTTCTGTTTTTGTTATAAATTGACCTAATGTGGAAGGTACACCTCTGACCTAGACCTGAAATACTAAATTAATTTGTGATTCATCCTCTGTCCGCCTTAGAAATATTTCTAGAAGGAGTTAGGTATTTATCAGCATGAACCCAGTAGACTGGTCAGTCAGTTTATAATGAGCAGTCTGAAATCAGCAAACAGGTCCAGAACAGACAACGAACAGCCACAACTGATCGCATACTGAGATATGAGAGAGCAGAAATCATCTGTCCGCCAGGAAAGGGTGTATCCATTGGTCCCAAAATTGCTTGTGTGTTTATGAAAGGAGGATTTAACTTTGTAAATAAAACTCTGAGTTCTTAAGGGAAATGGATGTGTAAAAACTATATATCGAAACAGCACCAAATTCGTTGGAGGGCACAATTACTCTTTTATTCATGTTTAATCGTACGTAAATGCAGAAGGTGATTGTGTGTAGCTGTGATTAGTTGCTCCTTGTACTTGTTCACAGCTGCGATGTGGAGATGTCGGTGTTGGACTGAGGTGGACAAGGTCAGAAATCATAAGACACCAGATTATAATCCAACAGGTTTATTTGAAAATGCGAGCTTTCGGAGCTCAGCTCCTTCCTCAGGTGTAGTGTGAGAGAGAGGCTATGAGACACAGAATTTATAAGTGGAAAAGTAACAACTCTAAAACTGGCCACCTCTTGTTGAATGTTTAATCAGTTAGGAAGGAGGCTACGGATTGAAATGCAAAATCCAGTTGCCTTTCAAGACATTGTCCTGAGATAATTAAAGGTTTTATCAATATATACAGGAGGTGACTTCTCAGGTCAGACAAAACATTTTAGGTGTGGAGTCTTGCTTAGAATCTATGTTTTAAACTGGGGTCAGGTTTTTTTTGAGCAAAACAATGTATCTGCGACTACACAAACGTCTTGGATGAAATAATTCATGTGTGTGTGTGTGCGCGAGAAAGAGAGTGAGTGTGCGCGTATATGCGCGCATGCACACTCTTGAGAGAGAGAGTGTAAGGGTGTGTGTGTGTGTGTGTGTGTGTGTGTGTGTGTGTGTGTGTGTGAGAGAGAGAGAGAGGTCTGTGAAAGTGAGAGTGTTTGTGTGCATGGGTGTATGAGGGAATATATAGTGTGGTGGGGTCACCTGTAATGCGACATGAAGCCAAGATCACAATTGAGGCCATCCTCATGGGTATGGAACTTGGCAATCAGCCTCTGCTCAGTGATTTTGCGTTGTAATGTATCTCGAAGCCCACCTTGGAGGACGCATACCCGAAGATTGGAGGCTAAATGTCCTTGATCCTTGAAGCCTCCCGCCACTGGGAGGGAACACCCTTGTCTGGTGATCGTTGCGCGGTGTCCATTCATCCGTTGTCATAGCATCTGCATGGTCTCACCAATATACCATGTCTCAGGGCATCCTTGCCTGCATCGTATGAGTTAGACAACATTGACCGAGTCACATGAGTGTCTGCCGTGTACGTGATGGATGGCGTTCCCACATATGATGGTAGTGTCCATGGCGATGATCTGACACATCATGCAGAGGTTGCCATGACAGGGTTGTATAGTGTTGTGGTTGATGTCGTCCTGAAGGCTGGGTAATTTGCTGTGAACAATGGTGTGTTTAAGGTTTAATGGTTGTTTGAAGGTAAGAAGTGGAGGCATAGGGAAGATCTTGGCGAGATGCTCATTGTCGTCAATAATGTGTTGAAGGCTGCGAAGAACATGGCGTAGTTTCTCTGCTCTGGGGAAGTACTGGATGATGAAGGTATCATATCGGTTGTATCTTATGGGGAGGTCTTTTTGCTGTTGCATGAATGGAGATCAATGAGTTGAGCATCATATCCCATTCTTATGAGGGCATTCCCTCTCCTCTGAGCAGCAAACTACCCAGCCTTCAGGACAACACAACCACAACACCACACAACCCTGCTATGGCAACCTCTGCAAGACATGTCAGATCATCGCCATGGACACTACCGTTGCATGTGGGAACACCACCCACCACGTACACTGCAGACACTCATGTGACTCAATCAATGTTGTCTATCTCATATGCTGCAGGCATGGATGCCCTGAGACATGGTATATTGGTGAGACTATGCAGATGCTATGACAACGGATGAATGGACACCGTGCAACAATCACCGGACAGGGGTGTTCCCTCCCAGTGAGGGAACACTTCAAGGATCAAGGACGTTTAGCCTCCAATCTTTGGGTGTGCGTCCTCCAAAGTGGACTTCGAGATACACTACAACACAAAATCATTGAACAGAGGCTGATTGCCAAGTTCCATACCCATGAGGATGGCCTCAATTGTGATCTTGAACGGGGTTCATGTCGCATTACAGGTGACCCTACCACACGATATACTCTCTCACGCACACCCACACACACACTGTCACACTCTCACACTTACACAGACCTTTCTGTCTCACACACACACACTCCCTCATGCTCTCTCTCTTGAGCGCACGCACGCACACACATGCACGCACAAACTCACTCTCTCTCTCTCTCACACACACACATGCACAGACACACACGAATTATTTCATCCAAGATGTTTGTGTAGTTGCAGATACATTCTGTTTTGCTCAAAAAAAACCTGACCCCAGTTTACAACTTTGATTCTAAGCAAAACCCCACACCTAAAATGCTTTGTCTGACCTGAGAAGTCACCTCCTGTATATATTGATAAAACCTTTAATTGTCTCAGGACAATGCCTTGAAAGGCAACTGGATTTTGCATTTCAATCAGTAGTCTCCTTCCTAACTGATTAAACATTCAACAAGAGGTGGCCAGTTTTAGAGTTGTTATCTTTCCACTTATAAATTCCATGTCTTATAGCCTGTCTCTCACACAACGCCTGAGGAAGGAGCTGAGCCCCCGAAAGCTCGCATTTTCAAATAAATTGGATTATAACCTGGTGTCATGTGATTTTTGACCTTCTTCACAGTGGTGCTTTGCTCTTTCAGACCAATGTGCGTTGTCAAGACTTGTACGTGGAGCAAATGTCCCAAGTAGATGCTGTCACTTAGAAGAAAAGACGACATAATACAGGCAAAGAAAAACTGCGTATGACAAGCCAAGGGAGATAAACTGCATGTGTTCTTGTTCATGAGTCACTGAAAGCTAACATGCAGTTACAACAAACAATTAGGAAGGCAAATAGAATGTCGAGCTTTATTACTAGAGGAGTTGAGTATGGGAGTAAAGTTGTCTTGCTGCAACTGTACAGAGTCTTGGTGAGAATGTATGCGGAATTCTGTCTACAGTTTTGGTCTCATTACCTAAGGAAGGATATACTTGTCTTAGAGTCACTGCAGCAAAGGTTCATCAAACTAATCCCTGCAGTGGTACGATTGTCTTATCAGGAGAGATTGAAGTGACTGGACCTGTACTGTCTCTAGACTTTAGACGAATGAAAGTTGGAATTCTTTTTGGGCTCTACAGGATAATGAAGGAAGGAGGTTTGCCTTTCTTGGATCTAGTACCAAGGGACCGTTTCAGACTGAGCTGAACAGGAATTTCCTCATTCAGAGGTGGTGAATCTTTGGGAAATCTATCTCAGAATATTGTGATGGCTCAGTCATTGAGAATGTTCAAGACAAAGATTAATAAATTCTTAGATACCAAAAAAATCAAGGGATCTGGGAATAGTGCAGGAAAATGGCATTAAGGTGATGATCAGTTATCATCTAGTAGAAAGGTAAAGTAGTCTTGAGGGGCCAAATGACTGACTTCTGGCCCTGTTTTCTATGTAACACAAACAGAGAGGAAGACTAACACAAGCAGAGACAGAGAACCTGGGTTTATTACAGAGAACAAGGAGCAAGGGTACCATTGATTACCTGAAATGGTTTAGGAATTATTTGTTATAGTAATAAGATGCTATTGCCTGTATGTTTTGAGATCTTTTTTATAGTACAATGGATTAAAGTTAATGTGTTTTCCTTTGTTTCAGCCATCATGCAAGATGATCACAAATGATCCAAAACATTTTTAAAAATTATTTTTCCCTATCAAGGATTACCTCATTTAATGAGGCAGTAGCAGCCCAGAGGGTGAAAGGCACTCTCTGAAACACCCTTACCAACACCTGACACTCCTGAAATATCCTGTGCTACCTAATCCTCCACAATCTCTTCCGTACCTTGTTGCTGCCTTCCCATCGCCAACCCACCATGGTTTTCGCTGCTGTAATACTGTTTCTGTTTCAGTCCGAAGGAGATCCAACCTGTAAAATCTACCAAGAAAGACAGAGACCAAAGAACACGGCATTTACTAGCAGACCTCCCACTCCCACCGGAACTTCCTGGAACAGATCCCTCACCTCCAGCTTCCCCTGAGCAGAAGACACCACCTCCATCTCAACCGATCCTTAAAAAAAGGCCCAAGTAAGAATGTTGGAGAAACTAACAATTTGTTTAAATATCTCAGTTAAACATGGGCTTAATGTCTACTGTGTTTGCTGAAGGAAAGCTCTAGAATTTATTGCTTGAGCAGCCAACAGTTGGATTCTTTTGGGTTCAAACATGAAGGTCACTATGACATGGACTGCAAGGAGACTGTTGCTGTGAATCCAACTGTGATACTGGCCTGATCTGTGTAGCACCTAGCAAAAATATTGGAGGCTGGTTGCCAGGAGCGGATTTCAGAAATGCTGTATGATTGGAGAAATGTCACATCTGCATCCTGACTTCTTCATCCCTTTCCTATCAACTGCAGTCATCCAACTGCAGAAAACAGTTCAATTCTATTGCAACGTGTCTTGAATATCCTCAATACAACCTCCAGGGTCTGGCCTTGAAAATCACTGGTCCTGCCACCTAGTGAGAGTCAGTGTGTGTGTGGCCGTACCCCAGTGAGAGTCAGTGTGTGTGCAGGGCCATACCCCAGTGAGAGTCAGTGTGTGCGGGGACTGTACACCAGTGAGAGTCAGTGTATGTGCGGGGACTGTACCCCAGTGAGAGTCAGTGTGTGCGGGGACTGTACCCCAGTGAGAGTCAGTGTGTGCGGGGACTGTACCCCAGTGAGAGTCAGTGTGTGCGGGGACTGTACCCCAGTGAGAGTCAGTGTGTGTGTGGCCATACCCCAGTGAGAATCAGTGTGTGTGGGGCTGTACTCTCCTGAGTGACAGTGTGTGTAGGATTGTTCCCAGTGAGAGTCAGCATGTGTGTGGGACCCGTATCCTGTTGGGAGTCAGTGTGTATGAGATTGTAACCTAGTGAAAGTAAATAGAGTATCGTGAAATGCAGTGGGAATAATGTTGAACGTACAGCTTTCATGCGAGGGTTTGGTTAGTTTCTGTTGCCTCTCACACGTTTAACTTTTTTTAAAGGATCTGTTGTCCTCGCTATGGTGAGAAAAAGGAGACTGAGAGTGACTGGGGCAAGCGATGTGTGGATAAATTCGACATAATTGGAATCACTGGTGAAGGAACGTATGGGCAAGTTTACAAAGCTAAGGATAAGGACACAGGTAATTGATGCTTCAAAAACCAGTGCTTTTTCATAACCCAGAGTCACAGAGCATTATGTTTCATGGGCATGTTTTTGATTTCAATATTCCAAGATTTGAGATTTAGTCTTTTGTGTTTGCTGGTAGGAAATAACATCTCATTGGTGATACAATCATCGTTTATGTTATCCACGGCCAGTTGCTTGTTGCTGCAAGCCTGATGCGACATTCAGAGTCATCTAGCCTATACTTTTGCGATTACTTTTCGTAGAACATCTGCACCTCACGCCGCTGCACAGGGACAGGAAGTTGGTGCTTGTGACTACATCACTCCATGTCTGGAAATAGGAAGTTGGCTCCCACTGCATCTGTAGGCATATTTGCATTGGAGCAGATATTAATACATTCGAAGCAGTCAGTGGGATTGAAATTGAGGCAACACTTTGTATTTTTTTGTAGAGAGAGCTTTTTGGCTTCCTCAGTCTTACCCCACTCATACCTCCTCAGTGTCACAGACGCTCCTTATAAAAATTGTTTCTTTTTGAATTGCCCTGTTCAGAGATATAATGACCCACCTCTGGAGCAGGTGAGACTTGAACTTGGGCTTCTAGGCTGAGAGGTAGGGACATTATCACAATGCCACAAGAGCCCTCTCGTTATCTAAACGTGGTCAGACGGTTAATATCCACCTCCTGTTTCTCTTTCTCTTAAAAGTGATATGAACGAACATAAAAATACAATTAACCAGGCATTTACAACTGATGTTATAATTATGTGCCTGTTTGAACCACAGTACAGTTAGAGCACAGAAGAGCCTTTCATCTCATCATGTCTGTGTGGGCTGAATAAATTAGCTGCCTATTCCAATCCCATTTTCCAGCATCTGGTCCATGGGAAACAAGCCTTCATGTTCACTCCATCCTAACACCTCATTGTTTTGTACACGTCAATTAAATCACCCGTCAGCCATTTCTGATCTAATTTATTCACGATCCACAGTATTCTTCAATACAATGCATTTTACCTGTGCTAGATTGACCACTGTGTTCTCACTTAAGAGTAGCAACAATCTCCGAGCTTCAAAATGGGGTCACAGTGGGTAAAAGGTTGGCAAGCACGACATTAAAGATTATTCTTGCTAGTCAGATAATGGAAACTTTCTTTTCTGGTAGGTGAGATGGTTGCCCTTAAAAAAGTCCGACTGGATAATGAAAAGGAGGGATTTCCCATTACAGCCATTCGAGAGATCAAGATCCTTCGTCAGCTCAATCATACCAGCGTGGTCAACATGAAGGAAATTGTGACTGACAAACAAGATGCACTGGACTTCAAAAAAGATAAAGGTATGATAGAGGTGAACATGGACTGATACTTCAAAGGATACGCATGTAACCAAAAAATATTGATTATTGATTTTTTATTTCTTAATTACTTGCAATGCAGTTAACCCAATTTCTTACTCTTTAGCTTAAACATAAGAAATAGGAGGAGTAGGTCACCTGATTCTTGGAAAAAAACAGAAGTTGCTGGAAACGCTCAGCAGGTCTGGCAGCATCTGTGAAAAAAAAGATCAGAGTTAATGTGACCCTCGGAACTCTGGACCCAAAATGTTAACTCTGATTGCTTTTTTTTAATCGCAGATACTGCCGGACCTGCTGAGCTTTTCCAACAACTTCTGTTTTTGTTCCTGATTTACAAGATCAGCATTATCCAATTCTCGGATCCTGTTCCATCATTTTATAAGATCATGCTTGACCAAAGCCCACTTTTCCTTGATTTTTTAACAAACGAAAATCTGTCAATTTCAGTCTTAAATATACTGAACAGTTGAATATTCTGAGCTCTCTGGGGTAGAGAATTCTAAAGATTCACAATGGTCTGAGTGATTCCTGTTCTAGAAATGCAGTACGTGGATCGTTATCATTGTGCTTCTGTTTTAATATGGGTTGTAGCTCCTCAGGTGCCCTCAATAGAATCTCATTCTTTCTTCTGTTTATGTTGTTGGTTATTACATGGATAGGATCTACTGAATTCTTCCCTCCTGTTTCATAGTTTTCCCCAGGTGCAAGGAAAAATCCTTAACCTACTGTCCATTATCACGGCATCTTTTTGATCCCAACTTGAATGGCCTCATGTATCATGATGTTGTGTACAGTTTGCTCATCCACCCTGCTGACTTTACTCTCACTCACATAGATAGCAAGAACCTTTCGTCTGTTGGATAATGACAAAAGTTGAGACTCCTCCAGCATTGCATGTTACCACTTAATATGCAGTCACACTGTTCTGTCCTTGACCACAAACAGACCTTTAACGCCACCAAAATGAAGGGCTGTACCTGAGCTGTGGATCAAACTGTTCAGTAACCCTTACCCCGCTCTGATATCCTGAATTGTTTGCCCTCGCATCCAGCTTTGAACTGAAGTTGCTCGAGACGTAGTGACTTACCGTAGGTGTGAATGTCCAGGATTGCAGAGCTGTCCGTGAACGTCCATGTGCTGCTGTTAAGGCCAATTCCCTGCACTGTCATTCATAGATAATTTATTTATTTAATCAGTCTTTATTTAATTGACCAATCTTATCATTTCAGTCTTATAATTAATTTCTTAAGTTAATTCATAGGTAGATTAAATATTTGCCTGTACCATATTGAAAAGGAGCAAAAAGAGCCCCTCTATTTCGGAAGGGAGGGAGGAAACTATACACCATTAACTTGATGTCTGCTGTAGTGAAGACGTTCGAGTCGGTCATTAAGGAGGTTATAGAAATCTAGGGAATGGAACAAGCTACCAGATGAAGTGGTGGAGGCTGGTACAATTACAATATTTAAAAGGTATCTGGATAGGTACATAACTAGGAAGGGTTTAGAGGGACATGGACCAAATGCTGGCAAATGGGGTAATTAATTTAGGAAATCTGGTCGGCATGGACAAGTTGGACCGAAGGGTTTGTTTCCATGCTGTACATCTTTATGACTATGAGTCTAAAAAGCAGACTATAATTTAAATGGAGAACAAATGCAGAATTTCCAGAAGTAGAAACCCCTAAGTATTCTAGTGCACAAGTCAGTAGAAGTTAGTATTCAAGTACAGCAATTAGTTGAGAAGGCCAGTGGAATGCTAACCTATATTATGAGAGAAATTGAACATGAATATAAGGATGTAATGCTTTAGTGGCAATGGTTTGTTCATCTATAAGTATAATTAGGACCCTGTGGTAACTTAGTATGTGAGAGGTCCCCACGATTTTAGATCCCTGATGAGCCCTGAGGCGTTGTCATGTAAGTTTAAAAAAAATTAATGGTCGCTTAGCTGGGACAACTGATGGCCTTCATTGTCTGAATGTACAGATACAGATATGTACAGATAAAAATGGCACGATAAACTCTCCTTAATATCTGTACATTCAGACAATGAAGGCCATCAGTTTAACTGGGACAAAGTAACCATAGTAGCCCAAGCCAAATATAGACACACACGGGAATTCCTAGAAGCATGGTTCTCCACCCATACTTCAATCAACAAACATATAGAATTGGACCCCATATATAAACCCATACAGATCAAAACCGGAAATGACAGTACTCACCATAACGGACCAGACAGTATAAATTCCAAGCGGAGTAGAACAACATTGCATCATCGGAGGCTCCACTGATGATGTTACCTAGCATGGTGATGAAACGTCTGAACAAAAACAAGCCAGCTCGGCGAGCAAGTCAACAACCTCGTCAAATCCCTCCTGTTCCATAGTTGCATTTTAATGCTGAATCGGTTGATTAAAAATGTCTGTAAACAAATATGGAAGGCCAAGTAACTTTGAAAGAAAGTTCAATTTTAAGAGCACTTTTGGCGCAATGGTAGCGTCCCTACCTCTGAGCCAGAAGGTGCAGGTTCAAGTCCCACCTGCCCCAGATGTGTGTCATACATGTCCAAATTAAAATAACTATAAAAAGTGTACATACAAAAGCATGAAAAAATGTTTCCCTACGTATGACCCAGGAGATCTGGGTTGGAGTCCCACCTGCTCCTGAGTTGTGTCATAATATGTCTGCCCAGGTTGATTAAAAGGATCTATTATGCTGTAGTTATGTAGGACATTGCTGAGACCACATCTGGAGTATTGTGTACAGTTCTGGTCTCCTTATTAAAGAAAGAATGTAAATGTATTGGAGGTGGTTCAAAGGAGGTTTATTAGCTTGATACCTGGAATGAGCAAGTCATCTTGTGGGGAAAGATTAATTGGATTGGACTTGTTTAGAAGAGTGACGTGTGACTTGATTGAAGTATATAAGGACTCGAATGGTCTTGACAAGGCAGATGTGGAATGGATGTTTCCTCTTGCAGGTCTGTCAAGAACTGGGGGGTGGCGGGGGGGACTTAGGACAAAGTCGAGATTCTTTTTCGAGGGTTTTGTTACTTTGAAGCTCTGCCTCAGAAGGCAACAAAGGTGAAATTATTGAATGTTTTTAAGGAGGAGTTAGATAAATTCTTGTTAGGCCGTGGAATCGAAGCTTACCGGTGTAGGTGAGAATGGAGCATTTGAAGTTCAAGCAGATCAGCCATGATTTATTGAAAGGCACAGCTTTGATTGTCCGACTTGTGTATCTAGTTGTGGTAGCAAAAAGGTGCAGCTCTTTCTAATAGGAGCTGCACCACATTCCCACTTGCGTTAAGTTTCCAGTTTTGATCATTTATGATGCTTTCTATTTAAGGCCACTTACGCTGATTAGTTACAACTCCTTTGAAAAGTATGTGACCTGTTGGAGCAGTGACAGTGTTTTTTTGAGCCTATGACTGTGAAAGAACTTGCCAATAGTGCCTGGACTGTGGGGACCTGGGCCCAATGTATTTGTGGGTTGTAAAAAGCAGTCATGGCAGCTTGTAAACAGTATAGCTGGTTATTAGTGAAGACAAAGGATGCAGGACTTTTTCATGTTACATATGACTACACGTCTACTTTCGCATTGCTAGTACAGTAATATGCCAAAGAAGATCAAAATTCAAATTCATTGAAGGAAGCAGGCAAGAAAGAACATCCTTTTATTCTTCAACAGCCTCACAATAACAGAAAATAGCAAAAAGCTATTTTTTCAGTAGTAATTTTATAGAAGTTGCATTGTAACATATTATGTTACATTCATCACAGAATTATTTGTGATGTTCAAGATACTCCAATAAGATGCGATGAGCTAAACTTTAATCATTTCCAATTATAATCACCTGAATGGAAATGCTATCAAAAAGATGACCAGGTACTCAATTTCAAAAGAGAAATAAACAAAAACAGTCGGCAGTTCACTTACACTTCAACTGATCTTGATAACAATCAATTTGTGCTGGCACTCCAGCTTACAGCCGTTATCGTGGTTTTGATGGTCTTGTATCTTAACACATCCATATCTTCTTACAGGGTTATTGACTACACTCTGATCATATTGTTTTCCCATCAGATTGTCTGTTCAACAATCTTCTAATGAATTATCTTAATCACATTGAAGCTTATTTTAAATGTCACATCTTTGCCAAAGGCTACATTATGATTGAATCATGCAAAGAGAATATTGCTGTGTTTTTTTTCTATTCATTTGTGGGATGTGGGTATAGCTGCCTGGCCAGCATTTATTGCCCATCCCCAGGTGCTCTTGAGAAAGTGGTAGTGAGCTGCCTTCTTCATCCACTGCAGTCCACATGTTATAGGTTGACTCACAATGCCATTAGGGAGGGAGTTCCAGGATTTTGACCCAGCAACAGTGAAGGAACGGCGATATATTTTCAAGTCAGGATGGTGAGTGGCTTGAAGGTGGTGGTGTTCCCAGATGTCTGCTGCCCTTGTCCTTCTAGATGGAAGTGGTCGTGGGTTTGGAAGGCGCTGCTTGAGGATCTTTGGTGAATTTCTGCAGTGCATAGTAGACACTGTTGTTACTGAGCGTCGGTGGTGGAGGGAGTGGATGCTTGTGGATGTGATACCAATCAAGCGGGCTGCTTTGTCTTGGATGGTGTCAACCTTCTTGAGTGTTGTTGGGGCTGCACTCATCCAGGCAAGTGGGGAGTATTCCATCACACTCCTGACTTGTGTCTTTTAGATGGACAGGCTTTGGGGAGTCAGGAGCTGAGTTACTCCCCAAAGCATTCCTAGCCTCTGACTTGCTCTTGTAGCCACTGTGTTTATGTGGTGAGTCCAGTCGAGTTTCTGGTCAATGATAACCCCTAGGATGTTGATAGTGGGGGATTCAGTGACGGTAACACTGTTGAATGTCAAGGGGTGGTGGTTAGATTGTCTCTTGTTGGTGATGGCCATAGCCTGGCATTTGTGTGGCGCGAAAGTCACTTTCCACTTGTCAGCTCAAGCCTGGATATTGTCCACATCTGTGAGGTGCTCAATTATATTTGTCATAAATATCCTGTCAAATAATAAAATAATTATAATGTTCTTTACTCTGACATTTATATCAGGTCAATTTTAAACTTAATTGCTAAAGTCTTTCCAGTATTGTAAAAATGTACTCATATGAAAATAAGTGAAGCACATCCATATAATAGTACAAGCCCCACAAAGTCCACCAAGTTTTTCCATGAAAGAGAGAGAGAAAATCTTTGTTAAAAGTGAATGCCCACTTAAGACCCTCATCTAGTCACTGCCAGGATCCAACCACCACCAGCAAGAGAACCCCAGGCAAAGTAGCCAACCATAACACATTGTGGAGCTGGAGGAACACAGCAGGCCAGACAGCATCAGGGGAGCAGGAAAGTTGACGTTTCGGGTCAGAACCCCTCTTCAGAAATGGTGAGGGGGAAGGGAGCTCAGAAATAAACAGAGAGAGGAAGGGTGAGGCTGGGCAGGTAGGTGGGATGGTGATAGGTGAGTGCAGGGAGGAAGTGGTGGGGATTGGTCAGTGAGGTGGGAGGGGCAGATAGGTCGGAGAGAAGATGGCTAGGTTGTGTCAGGTCAAGGAGGCAGGAATGAGAGGGAAGGTTGGACATGGGATGAGGCCGGGGGTGGGGAGATTTTAAAACTGGTGAAATCCATGTTTAAGCCATCAGGCTTTGGCTCTCGATGTGGAATATGAGGTGCTGCTCCTCCAGTTTGCAGGTGGCATCATTGTGACACTGGAGGAGAGCCCAGGCCCACTGACAGCTATCAGCAATCTGAGACAAGACTTGAGTTTCTGAGGGACGAAAATCCCACCTCAACATCTCAGTGGTCGCTTGGATGATCTGGCCATATTTGAGGTGGGCTGTCAGTACATTGTAACCCCCCACAAACCGAACTGATCTTTTAACTTGAGGTGGGGAGGTCTACAATTTCCCATTAAATTCAACCTGTGGAAATTAGGAAACGTTTAACTCATTCTCAGATTTGTGACTAATTAATCCAAAATATCTCCTTTTTGGTGTAATTGAAGGACTCCACCAGCAGCACGAAAAGAGTGAGCTCCATTTCCAATGGCATTGAGGCAATACTGGGAGAACCCCTGATTTGCTGTTGTCAGTGACTCAGTATGTAGCTGAGCTGAGGGTTACTGTTGTGATCTGAACAATTGACACTAGCCAGAATGGGAATTCTTAGTACTGCATTGTGGTGTTAACATAGATCATAGTCTCAAGACAAGGAATGATACTTAAATCTTTAATAATGGACCTATAGAAATGAGTGATTCCAACTGAGCCAAGCTAACAATTAATAGTCTGCATTTTAAAACTTGAGTAAATATTTGAGAATCCAAGCTAAGTTATGCAAGTAACTTTCTGGCATGCTTCCCTGTTCTGAGTAAATGATGACAGTAACCATTTTCTTGCTTGTGTTGTCTCCATAACATATCTATCAGGAGCTTTCTACCTGGTCTTTGAGTACATGGATCACGATTTGATGGGTTTACTGGAGTCGGGGCTGGTGCATTTCACTGATGACCACATCAAATCCTTCATGCGGCAGTTGATGGATGGACTAGATTACTGTCATAAAAAGAACTTTCTGCATCGTGACATTAAATGCTCCAACATTCTCCTCAACAACAGGTAGGTACATGAGGAGAAAATAGAGGGCGGCATTGTGTTGTTAGTAGCAAGATGTTGATTGGTGGGAAAGTTTTATTTTGGTGGGGGTGGTGAGAGGGTAAGTGCGGGGACTTGCAATTATCTTGTTGATTGTTTACTTCATCCAGGGTGATTATTCTGGGGTGGGATGGTTAGTTTAGGATGGTGGTTTTATTTATTGGGGAGATTTTCTGTGGAACTGCTGTCTCACTGGTTGTTCCTTTTATCCAGCGGACAGATCAAGTTGGCGGATTTTGGTTTGGCACGATTGTACAACTCGGAGGAGAGGTATGTTTCAGAAATGGCGTAATACTCACTCAGTGTATGTATACTCCCAGTTAAGGGAACTATCAAGCAGCAGCTGCTCAACAATATCCTGCTCAGTGATGCCCAGTTTAGGTTCTGCCAGGGCCACCTAGCTCCTGATCTCAATACGGCCTTGGTTCAAACATAGATTAAAGAGCTGAATTCTGGAGCTGAGGTGAGAGTGACAGCCCTTGACATCAAGACTGCATTTGACCCAGTGTGGGATCAAGGATTCCTGGCAAATCGAGAATCAGTGGGTATTGAGGGCAACCTCTCTGCTTGTTAGTCATACGTGACCCATAAGAAAATGGATGTGGTTGTTGGAGGTCATGATGTGGAATTGCAGGTGTTGGACTGGGGTGGACAAGGTCAGCAGTCAGATGACACCAGGTTATAGTCCAGTAGGTTTATTTGAAGTCACAAGCTTTCAGAGTGTTGTCCCTTCGTCAGGTGAAGGGGCAACATTTCAAAAGCTTGCGATTTCAAATAAGCCTGTTAGACTATAACCTGGTGTCGTTTGACTTCTGACATTGTTGGAGATCAGTTATCTCAGCTCCAGGACATCTCTGCAGGAGTTCCACAGGTTAGTGTCCTAGGCTCAACCATCTTAATCTGCTTTATCAATGACCTTCCCTCCGTTATAAGGTTAGAAGGAATGCTTGATCGTGATTGCTGTTGAACATTGTGCATTTGTGACTCATTAGGACTGAGGTAATTCATGTTCAGATGCCAGGCTTGGGCTGACAAGTGGCAAGTAACATTCACGCCACACAAATGCCAGGCAATGACCATCTCTAATAAGAGACAATGTAACCACCGTCCCTTTACTTTCAGTGGTGTTACCATCACTGAATCCTCCACTATCGATATCCTTTGGGTTACCATTGACCAGAAACTCAGTTGGACTTGCCACATAACCACAGTGGCTACAAGAGCAGGTCAAAGGTTAGAAATGCTGTGGCTAATAACTCATCTGCTGACTCCCTGAGCCTGTCCACCATCTATGAGGCAAAAGTCAGGGGTATTGTGGAATGCTCCACACTTGCTTGGAAGGGTGCAGCTCCAACAACACTCAGGAAGCTTGACACTATCCAGGACAAAGCAGCCCACTTGATTGGAACCACATCCACAAGCATGCACTCCCTCTACCAATGCTCAGAAGCAGCAGTGCATACTATCTGCAAGATGCACTGCAGCAATTCACCAAAGATCCTCAGACAGCACCTTCCAAACCCGTGACCACTTCCATCTAGAAGGACAAGGGCAGCAGATACCTGGGTATAGCACCACCTGCAAGTTTCCTTCCAAGCCACTCACCATCCTGACTTGGAAATGTATCACTATTCCTTCACTGTCGCTGGATCAAAATCCTGGAATTCTCTCCCTAATGGTATTGTGGGTCAGCCTACAGCACATGAACTGCGATGGTTCAAGAAGGCAGCTCATCGCCACCTTTTCAAGGGCAACTAATGACAGGCAATAAATACTGGCCCAATCAGCAATGCCCACATCCCATAAATGAATAATAAAAAAAAATTGTGGAATCATAGTTTATGAGAGACTAGGGACAAATATGTGGATGTCTGGTTGTTAGTATGTGAGGACACAGGATGTTTTTTATTCACCAGGGAATATAGGCATCACTGACTGGGGCCGGCATCTGTTGCCTGTCTCTAATTATCCTTGACAAAGTGGTGGTAAATTGCCTTCACGAACCGCTGCAATCCATTTAGTATTGGCTCACTGTTAGGGAGAGAGTTCCAGAGGCGCTGTCAAAGGAGCTTCGATGAGTTCTTGCATTGTATCTTATTTATGGTACACCCTGCTGTCTTTCCATACCTGCAACCTTTGCCATTAGGAGGACAAGGGAAGCAGATACATGGGAACAGCATCACCTGCACATTCCCCTCCAAAGTACTCATCATCCTGACTCGGAAGAATATTTGCTATTCTTTTACAATTTCAAAATCTTGGAACTCTTTTCCTGACAGCACTGTGGTGTCTCTACACAAGGACTACTGCAGTTTAAGATTATGACTCATCACCATCTTCGCCAGAGTGCTGGCATGGCCAGTGACACCTACACCTACATGAACGAACAGAAAACTTGGATTTTGGAAAATTGTCTTCCATGGTTCCTTGTATCATTTGTGAGTCATAGAGTCCTACAGCACAGAGACAGGCCCTTTGACCCAAACTGGTCCATGCTGCCCAAAATGTCCAACCACGCTAACCCCATTTCCCTGGACTTCGCCCATATCCTTCTAAACCTTTCCTATCCATGTATTTGTCCAAATGCCTTTTAAATGTTGTTAATGTACCCACCTCAAGCACTTCCTCTGGCAACTCATTCCATAAATGTATCACTCTCTGTGCAAAAATGTTGTCCCTCATGTTCCCATTTATTCTTTCCCCTCTTAGCTTAAATTGATGCTCTCTAGTCCTCAATTCCCCAACCCTGGGGAAAAGATTGAGTGCATTCACCATATCCATACCTCTCATGATCTTATATGCTTCTATACGATCCCCCTCTCAGTCTCCTATGCTCTAAAGAAGAAAGCCCTAGCTTGTCCAATCTCTCCTTATAACTCAGTCCCTTGAGTCCTGGCAACATCCTTGTAAATTTCTTCTGCACTCTTTGAAGTTTAATAACATCCTTCCTATTGCAAGGTGACCAAAACTGTACACAATATTCCAAGTGTGACTTCACTAACGTCCTGCACAACTGCAACATAACTTCCCAATTTCTATACTCAATGCCCTGACTGATGAAGGCCAGTGTATTAAAAGCCTTCTTTACTGCACTGTCTACCTGTGATTCCACTTTCAGAGAACCATGCACCTGAACTCCAAGGTCCCTCTGTTCCACTACGCTCCTTAAGGCCCTACCATTCACCATGAAACTCCTACCTTGATTTGACTTTCCAAAATGCAACACCTCATAGTATCTGTATTAAAGTCCATTTGCCATTTCTAGGCCCATTTCCCCAGCTGATCAAGATCCTGTTGCAATTTCTGATAATCTTCCTCACTGTCCATGATACTGCCCATTTTAGTGTCATCTGCAAACTTACTAATCATGCCTTGTACATTCTCATCAAAATCATTGATATAGATAACAAACACCAATGGGCCCAGCACCGATTCCTGAGGCACACCACTAGTCACAGGCCTCCAGTCAGACAAGCATCCTTCTACTATTACTCTCTGCCATAGCGCCAATTGTGTATCCAATTTGCCATCTCTTCCAGATTTCCATGCGATCTAACCTTCTAGGGCAGCCTACCATGTGGAACCTTATCAAAGGCCTTACTGAAATCCATATAGACCTCATCAACCTCGTGGTCACTTCGTCAAAGAACTCTTAACAAATTTGTGAGGCATGATCTTCTACACACAAAACTCCTAATCAAATCCTGTCTTTCCAAATGCATGTATATCTTATCCCTCAGAACCTTCTCAAGTAACTTACCTACCACAGATGTTAGGCTTACTGGTTTATAGTTCCCAGGTTTTTCTTTGCAGCCCTTTTTGTATAAGGGCACCATGTTCTATACCCTCCAGTCTTCTGGGGCTTCACCCATGGCTAATGATGATGCAAATATATCAGCCAGGGTCCCCGCAATTTCTTCTCTAGCCTGTTGCAGGGTTCTTGGATATATCTGGTCAGGACCAAGAAATTTATCCATCTTCATACATTCTAATATGTCCAAAACCACCTCTACTGTGATATGGACTGTCCCCAAGATATCGCCACTAACTTCCCCAAGTTCCCAACTTGTCTTGTCTTTCTCCATGGTTAACACAGAGAAGAAATATTCATTGAGGATCTCGCCCATCTCCTGCAGTTCCACACATACAAGTCCACTTTGGTCCTTGAGGGGTCTTATTCTCTCTCTAGTTATTCTTTTTCCTTAATACACTTAAAGAATCTCTCTAGATTCACCCTAATCTTCTCAGCCAAAGCTATCTCGTGCCCACTTTTCACCCTCCTGATTTCCTTCTTCAGTAAACTCCTATATCCCCTATATACCTCCAGTAGTTCTCTTGATCCCAGCAGCCTGTACCTGAGCCATGCCTCTTTTTTCTGGTCAAAACCTTAAATCTCTTGTCATCCAGAGTTCCCTACACGTGCCAACCTTGTCATTCATCCTCACAGGAACATAAAGACCTTGAACTCTAGCTATCACTCGTTTAAAGGCCTCCCACTTGCCGGAGGTCCCTTTGCCTGCAAACAAACTACTCCAATCAACCCCTGCAAGCTCCTGTCTAATTCCATCAAAATTCGTCTTGCCCCAATTTAGAATTTAAACCTGTGGACCAGTTTTGTCCCTCTCCATAACTATTTTAAAATTGATAGAACTGTGGTCGCTGATCTCAAAGTGCTCCCCCACTCTCACCTCAGTCACCTGTTCTTCCCTATTTCCCAAGAGTAGGTCGTGTTTTGCCCCTTCCCAAGTAGGACCCTCTATACTGCTTCAGGAAACTTTCCTGAACACCCTTAACAAATTCCACCCCATCTAAGCCCTTAACACTATGGCAGTCCCAGTCTATATTAGGACAATTAAAATCACCTACTATGACAACCCTATTGCTCCTGCAAGTCTCCCCAATCTCCCTGCATATTTGTTCCTCTAATTCTCGTTAACTATTTGGGGGCCTATAGTACAACCCTAATAACATCACCATCCCCTTTTTATTTCTTAGCTCCAGCCATAAAGCCTCACTAGATGATCTCTCAGTTATTTCATCTCTGACTACTGCTGTGATACTCCTTTTAATCAAAAATGCAACTCCCCGTCCCCTCTTTCCTCCGCCTCTGTCCGGCCTAAAGCACCTGTACCCTGGCACCTTAAGCTGCCAGTCCTGTCCCTCCCTTAGCCATGTTTCTGTAATGGCTATAATATCCCAGTCCCACATACCTATCCACACCCTGAGTTCATTGGCCTTACCTGTCAGCCCTCTTGCATTGAAATAAATGCAGTTTAATCCAACAGGCATTCCTCGCTCCCTGTTCTATTCCAGATTGACCTGTCTCTTCAACTTGCTATTTTTGATTACTGTATATCCTTCCAGCCTTGCACTTGCTTCCATGCTGTTGAGGATCCCACCCGCCTGCCAATCTAGTTTAAACCCTCCTTTGTAGCACTAGCAAATCTGCCTGCCAGGATATCGGTCCCCCTCCAGTTTAGGTGGAACCTGTCCCTCTTGAACAGGTCACCTCTGCCCCAGAAAAGACCCCAATGATCTAAGAATTTGAATCCCTGCCCCTTGCACCAATTCTTCAGCCAAGCATTCATCTGCCATATCCTCCTGTTCTTACCTCACTAGCACCACATTTGTGCTTGAAGTTGTGTGGAGAAAAACCTTTGCTTGTTCTTTGAAGGACAAAAAGCTAAAGTTAGGATCTGGGCCTCTGCAGATGACATAGAATAGGGTGTGATAATTGCTGTACACTGACCTATTTATAAAAGATGTAACCTCTGTGATTTAGCCAGTCCCTGTAAACTAAACATTGGGATTGATTCAGGCAGATTTACAGTAACACCTGCTTCATTCCAAAACACACATACTCCACAGGGAAATAGTGTGGAGTGTCTGCAAGCAAAGGAGCAATGCAGGCGCAAGGAGTAACCTTGCAAGTGAGGCACTCAGCGAAACTTCATGAGAAACAGCAAATACTCTGAGTCTGTTAGAAATTAAAACTTCTCCTTGTTAAAACTGTGAAATCCAGGGTTCTTGCCTGCCACCTGAATTTTGACACTAAAAAGCCTGACTGGAGCATTTAGTGGATGTGACTAATACACCACCTATAGCTCCCGGACAGCGCAGTGCTCCAGTTACATTCAGTTTGCACTCAGGTTACACTCGATTGTGTCCTGGTTGTGCTCAAATTATAATCCATTTCTGGTGATGAGCATTGCACAGTGGTCTTTTTGTGCTTTGGACATTGTGGCGTCGGCATTAATGTAGAACTTGCTGCTTTGTTCAGTGACATGCTCCACTTTGTCTCCTAGCCGTCCATACACTAACAAAGTCATCACACTCTGGTATCGTCCACCAGAGCTGCTGCTGGGGGAAGAGAGATACTCACCAGCCATTGATGTTTGGAGCTGTGGGTAAGTGGAATGTTTGTGGTACTGAGGATTAAACATGTCACTGGCACACAAATCTTAATTGTTTTTGTTCAGAATATTTCAGTTTGTTGCTTAGAAAGGAACATAGGAACAGGAGTAGGCCATTCAGCCCTCAAGCCTGTTTTGCCATTCAGTGAGATCATGACTGACCTGTGGTCTCACTCCTTATACCTGCCTTTGGCCCATATTCCTTAATACCTTTGCATGACAAAAAGTATCTATTTCAGATTTAAAATTGACAGCTGATTCCAAACATCTACGACCTTTTGTATGTTGAAGCGCTTCCTAACATCGCTGCTGAATGTTTTGGGCTTAATTGTGACACTACGCCCCCTAGTTCTAAAATCCCCAATCAGTGGAAATAGTTAATCATTATCTACTCTTCCTTGTCCTGTTAATATCTTGATGACTTTGATCAGATTACCTATTAATCTTTTAAACTCTAGACAAAACAGCCTAATTTGTATAATTTCTCCTCACAACTTTACTCCTATTGTAAACCTACATTGTACTCCCTCCAAGGTTATTATATCCTTCCTAAGATGCGAAGCCCAGATCTGCTCACAGTACTTCAAGGGGGTCTAACCGTGGTTTCGTATAACTGCAGTATACCATATGTGTCGCTATACTCCAGTCCTCTAGATATAACGGCCAGTATACCATCAGCTTCCTTGATTATTTTCTGTACTTGTTCATGGATTTTAAAGATCTGTGTACCTGAACCCCCAAATCTCTTCGGATGTCCACTGTATTTAACTTAATACCATCTAGAAAGGACCCTGATCCAGCCTCTTTTGGTCCAAAATGGATAACCTCACACTAGTTTACATTGAATTCCATCTGACACAGTTCTGCCCATTCACCTAATCTATCAATACCGCTTTTATGCTTTCATCTACATTGTCTATAATGCCACCTAACATTGTTATCAGCAGATTTGGATAAACGACTTTCTATGCCATTTTCAAAGTTGTTAATAAATAATGTGAATAATTGATGTTCTAACACAGATGGTTGTGGAACACTACTGATCACATACTGCTAATTTGAGTATCTACCTACTCTCTCTTCTGCCACTCAACTTTTTTCTGACCATGTCAGTAATTGCCTTCAATTCCATGGGCTTCTACCTTAGTTAATGGTGTCTATTAGTGTCTGTGGGACTTTATCAGATGCCTTCTGGAAATCCATATAAACAAACATCCGTAGACTTTCCCCTGTCCATTACCTTAATCACCTCTTCAAAAAATTCAGCGAGGTTTGTCATGCCTGCACCTATCATGAATCCATGCTGGCTTTCCCTGAGTAACTGAAAATGTTCAATGTTTTCAGTTACCCTATTTTTGATTATGACTCCAACAATTTTCCCGCCACAAATGTTAGGCTACTGATGTATCATTCCTTGGTTTTCCTCTTTCACCCTTCTTAAAAAGTGAAGTGACATCTACAATTTTCCATTCCAAAGGGACGGCTACTGTAACTAGGGAACTCTGAAAGATTATACATAAACAGAAGTTGTTGGAAAAGCTCAGCAGGTCTGGCAGCATCTGTGAAGACAAGTCAGAGCTGACATTTCGTGTCTGGTGACCTCACCTGAAACATTAACTCTGATTTTTCTTCACAGATGCTGTTAGAACTGCTGAGCTTTTCCGGAAACTTCCATTTTTGTTTCTGATTTATGGCATCTGCAGTTCTTTAGTTTTCTTATTCTGAAAGATTATATTTGGGGCATCTACAATGTGCTCCCCTACCACCCTCAAATGGAAACCATCAGGTCCAGGACATTTGCCATTCTTTAGTTTCATTAATTTCCTCATTATCGATATTTTAACTTATGTTAATTTTGTTCAGTCCCTGTCCCCGATGCACTATTACTTTCCTTGAGACTTTGACAAATTATCCTCCTTTTCTACTATAAATATTAAGGCAAAGTAATTATCAGCGTGTCTGCCATTTCCCCAGACAATATTCCCATTTTTAGTCTTTAATTGGCCAACGTTGCTCCTGACCAATCAATGCAGTGGGGAGCTGGAGGAACACAGCAGGTCAGGCAGCATCAGAGGAGCGGGAAAGTCGACATTTC